TAGATTAAATTAACCAAATATTAAGAAATATATTAAGAAATGTATTAAGAAATGTAATGTATTAAGAAATGTAGGTATTTTCAAAATATCTATCGATTTGTTTTGTATAATCAAAATTTGTGGCTTACAAATTAATATTTATATTATTTGTGCTTAACATATAAGATTATAAAATAATATAAATTTAATAAACATTAACGAGAAATAGATTACTATATTATATCAATTACTTCTTTTCTTTAATTAAATATAGAGATATTTTTTCAGATGATTTTCATGTACATTGGTATTTATTGTCCGGAAAGTTCGTGCCAATGTTGAAGGAAAATTTAAACACAGAAAATTTAAATTTTAGTATACATTTATTAAATTATATAGGTTAGTCGGCACGAACTTTCCGGACAACCCAATATAACGGTTTACTGGGGGCCTGGACGGTATGAGAGTTTTGATGATTCTCATTATAACTGTCCGTCTTTACATGACACACAAATTCAATTACTGGAAAAAGCGGAATGTTTTGCATGCGCTACCGATATAAGTTTTAGGCAATTTTAAAGATAGCCTATTATTAAAGAGATCTTCTGGCTATCTTCTGAAAGATTTTTATGATCAAGGGAAAAGAATGCCTTATATCGGTTTCTACATATTAGACAAATCATCATTGTTGATTCGCGATGTGGAACTTATTAAAAATATTTTAATAAAAGACTTCGATTACTTCATTGATCGATACACCTAACATGACTGATCATTTGAATTATTCCAATCTCTTCTTTATCAAAAACCCAGCCTGGAAGATCATAAGAACGAAGTTATCACCAACCTTCACATCCGGCAAACTGAAAAAAATGTTCGAGCTGATGTTAGAATGCGGTGATAATCTAGATACGTATCTCGAATCGTTAAAATTAGAAGTGCTGAAAGTTAGCAATTGTCAAAACGCATAAAAGTCATATTATGATTTAATTGAGGCAACAATATAAATATTAAATCATATTGTCATATTGATGACAGATAAAGACATTGAACTGGACATGAAAGACTTATCCTCCAAATTCTTTATGAACATAGTTAGTACTACCGCGTATGGACTTAGTGTGAATTTGTCCAGATGATGAATAGTCCAGACATCGAGTTTCCAAAGTAATATGGTAAACAAAGTTTTAAGATCAATATTTTACGCGCTTTCGAGTTTCTTGCAATATTATTTTTACCAAGTTTAGTTCATTTTATCAATGCAAAATTGTTTAATAAGAAAGTTACTATCTTCTTACGTAATGTGTTTTGACAAACAATCACTTAGCGCATAAAGATCTGAAGAGAAATGATCTCATAAATACTCTTATTGAATTAAAAGGAACTTACAGAGATCAGGACAGTGAAAGAGAATTTAATAAGTAAATTCTTCAAGCTAGTATATAATTAACTTGCATTAAAAAATCAGAAATCTCATTTGTCTAAGCAATAGTTGCAGTAACTAAAATTAATTATAGTAAGAATTAAGAAATGAAAATTTTAGAAAAAAAAAACGAATTAAAATTTCAGCACTTGATGGGGACGATCTATTAGCACAGGCAGCTGTTTTCTTCATAGCTTAGTTATGAAACCTCTTCACAACAATGGCTTTTATTTTATACGAACTCGCGAGACATCCAGAAGTATAAAACTTAAAAAAGAAATAAAAACTTAAAAAAGAAATTCTGCACTCGACGAAATGAATGGTAAAATTACATACATTTTTACTATCTTATAAAAGAAAAATGACTTTTGTATTACTATATTACCAAGTTTAAAGTACAATATTTATCTTATTTGCATGCCAATGGTATAGATTACATCGCTATCATCTCGACATGGTAGAAATTTTGAAAATGTATCCAGTGTTGCCATTTTTAGATCGCATAGAAGAAAACTTACAAGGTACCTAATTCCGATTAGTTCTCGAGAAGGGTATACCAATTTTTATTTCGTTACTTGGTGTGCACTACGATCCGGAACTATCCTACTCCAGATCAATTTGATCCGGAACGATTCACCGAGGAGAACAAACGTAATAGACCGTGTCTATCTTCCGTTTGGAGACGGACTACGTATGTGTATAAGTAAGAACATCGGATATGACAGATATCAAGTTTTGACGGAATTATACAATATATGTATAAAATCAAGAATGAATCAGCTAAAGCATAAATTTACGTTTTTTGCCTTGTTATACAAATCATAAATTCTGTATATGTAAATACGCTCATTAGAATGATGTAGACACTATCCAATTGAACTTTTGAACTATAAAATTTACTTATCTTAATTACAATTTTGCAAAGATAAAATATATATATATATA